GGCCTTGGAGATTAGAAATTCATGAAGTCAAGAAAGGTCGGGTCTGTTTACTGGAAAATGAGCTGTCACAAAAAGGCTGACATCACAAATATTCCAATAAAAATGAGATCTTGTTAATGTGGGGGAAATACTGTGGTCTGGTTTAAAGAGGGAAAGGTCTACAGTTATTTCAGACACGTTACAAATGAATTAAACTGAAAACCAGAACCTGGTTGTAAATCCTCTTATCTGCTGTGAGCCTCTCTTTGCTCCTACCTCCCATTAAAAACTTCAGTGTTGGTTAAAATGCTTTAGCAAGTGATTATGCTGCACTTTAACTCAACTGGAAAGAAACTATTGGTACAGAAATACAATTTTAACAACACAGTGTGGAGTTAAATGTCTTTGAGAGAGGCATGGACATTTCACAATGAGAACAAGTTTATTAGTCTTGGTTACACAGTGGAATATTCACTGGTGCCCCTTTCTACTTGAGTCTAATCACCCGATTTTCTTCTCTGTTAATTGGCTAAAAAGAAAAATTCTAATAATCAGACAGAGGAGCGAAGATGGGATGCACTGAATCACAATGAAGCGGATCAATATAAACAGTATTGATACATCCTTTAAATATTTAATGGTCCTGATGGTATGACGCGTGTTTACCTGGCCAAATGCAGAGTATGTGAGTTACAAAGTAACCTTAGCAAGAGCTTCACAGTGACTGGCTGTGAGACCTGCAAAGGAAAACCGAATGTTGAGACAAACTCTGATTCCCTACAGAAACCAAGCCTCTTTTTTTGTCCTGTTTAATAAAATCAACCAGTGACATCTTACTCAAACTAATTTATCTGTGTGCTAACTTTTATTAAGTTATATGCAGATTATATTATCATTTATCTTTGAGTGTTTCGTTGAAAAGAATAACTTGATTTGGATTTGTTCAGCACTTGGCGTGAGTTCAGAGGTTTCTTCTGCAGGTACAATGCTGTGCAAAAGTCTTAAGTCATCCTCATTCATTTGTTTGTTATTTTTCTTCCAATTAGATGAATACTCTTGTCATCTTGTAATCCTTCTACAGGCTAGTTAAATGTCTTTCATAGGGTTTATTTGGACTTTGTTCTTGACCATTTTCAGAGGAATTATCTTTCCTTTGCTTATGGATCTTTCATGTTGGCCAGTTTTGTCTTTAGTGCAGAAATGATGGATGACTGAAGACTTTTGCACAGCACCCATTGAAGTCACTGTTTTTATTCTGAACGGTTTGAACACACTAAGGAGGACTCCATTAACTCCACTGTCTCTGTGTCTCTCTGCAGTCCCATCTGTGTTTCTGGTGTTACTCTGGATCTCTCTCCAACAGCGTGCAGCCTCTCCATCATGGGACCAGTCTGCAGTACAAACACACTGACCACTGAGGGACACACCTCCACCTGCAGGCTGATCAGCAGCCAGTCTGACAGAAATATATTCACTTTTATTTAATTTTAAAATGTGCACATGATCCATAAAGCTCTGATGGTTCTGAATTGAACTGTTCCTGTTTTGGGAAAACACGTAATATCACAGGATAGTAAGGTATCTTAGACAGTATTTGAGCTTTCAGCTTGTTACTGGAGTCACAGAAACTGTTTTTCTGGTATGGTGATGAAAAACTGTTTAGATGATCATCTTTAACCTCATTCACAATGTCTGCTTATTTGTAACTGTGCATTTAGGGCCAAAACTAAAAGTGAGCAGCAAAGATACGTTTAAATCTAATAAAAGATTATATGTTTGGTCCAGTGAAGAAGGTGTGAGCAAATGCAGGAACAAAGTGATTGGGAAATTCATATTTTATCGCAGTACTATGATCTTCCACAGATAAATCCAGCCTTTAATTTGACAACATTTATTATTTGGGAAATAAAAACACATGTTAGAAAATAATCTCACCACTGACACAGTTATTGGTACTTCAGCTGTTATTACTTTACTTCTTTCGGCTTTGGTATAGATGCAGCCATCTGGGACATGACAACCTTAAGGGCCTAAAAAAGAGGCAACATAAGTCTTCAAGAAAAAAGAGATGTCCAGTTGTTTTCCATTTAAGCACTCAGGAGTTCTTTTTGCCAAGAGGAAAGATCATAATCTTCTCCTAAAACCTCTTTTAAGGTTGGAGCATACAGAGTGGATGGAGTCCTCAACCGTTCCTCTTTGTACCATCTCTGTAGACGAGATCGTCCAGAGTCCCAGGTCCCCCTCCATGCCCTACTTTCCAACTTACCCGGCAGGTTTTATTTGATCATAAAGAAAGTTTCATTTATGCGTCTGACTAATCATTTTCTTGTTTATTTGGCTGTATGTTTAGAATCATTATGCTGCCAAAAGACCCAAAGATAACCAGAATGATCATTTAACATGTTCTGGAATTTAACATGTTCAGCTCAGGATGTCTCTAGGAAGATTCACATGGCCTTTAGAAGAGAAACAGTCATGATCCGTGGGTGTTTCATCCCTTTGTCGTTTATTGTTGAGAGAAAGGTCTTGCTGTACTCAGTTGTTTATTATTGTCATTAGGGTTTTGCCATACAGTTCATTCCTTTGTGTTTATTTCTTGTGCTGTTCTGGTCTCTGTGTATTTTAGTTTATTCTCTAAGATCAGTGTTAGTCTTTTTTTTCCCCTTGTTTGTAGTTTCCTTTGTATTAATTATTCACTCAGTGTTTTGATCTCCTCCGCAGCTGTTACACATCCCCCTGAATAAGCTCACCTGAATCCAATGCCATTCTCCAGCCTTACCTCAGTATATAAGTTCACTGGTTTTAATGGCTCATTGCTGGTTCCTTCTGTCACACACGGTGCTCTGTGTCCTGCTCTGCTTTTGATCCCTCTGGAAGTTTTCTGTGTTCCTCAATTATTAAAATCTCTGCTCACCACCATCACATTCAGCCTCTGGATGTGGGTCCTTTACCAACCTCAAAATTACAGGTCCATAGCATCACAGATCCTCCACCGTACATAATAGTGGTAATTAAGTACTTTTCCACCAATTCATCCTTTTGTTTTATGCCGGTGCACCTGGAGCGTGCATTGTTGTTCACTGAGTCTCATCTGACCAAAACACAGAGTTCCAGTTCCTGTCCCAGTAAAGCAAAATCCATTTTTACATTTAAGGCAGAAAAGGCCTTTTCCAGGTAGGCCTTTTTAAACAACCTTTCTGCATGTCTATAGCATGTCTTGGTTGTCATGGAAACCTGGATGCCAGTCCTTTCAGAGATTTGTAGATGTTTTATTTCTTTTACTTTTCTTCTCACTCTGTGTTAAAGATAACCTTGGTTCCTCGTCCCAATAAATTTGAACAGAACAAATCTAAATTAACTTTAATGGAATGCACTGTTGTCTTTCCCATTTTTAAGAGTGACTAAAGGAAATGAACCTGTGTGTAACATCACATATATTTATTTTTAAGGAATTGTTAGAGGTAACAATACATTTTACTATCTAGGATTTTGTAAAGTGATTTTGTTTTAATGTTATAGGTTGGATTTTTCAAGCATTATCAGTGTGTGTTTATGCTCCTGCAATAAAAGCATATTAAACATGTTTAAAGCAAGTTAAATATCTGTCTGCATGTCTGCTCTAAAGGTTAGTTTGACACCAGAATAAAACAACTGTACAGCCACATAAGGTTCTTTATTTATTGTTTCGGTTCTTTTTAAGTACCCTCCTTGTTTTATCAGTTCAGGCACAGACACTTTGTTTTTAACCAGTAATCAAGACATAGTCCCTGAAGGAGGAAGTGAAAATACCAGAACTGAGAGCTGCCGAATGATGTCGTTAACACGGACATGATGGATTTTCGGATTTCCACATCAGCTACATCTACATGTGACTCATGGGAAAATGTGAGATTAAATCTGATTCACAACACAAACTGATAGAAAACAATAGTTTTTCTCCGAAGAAAAAGGTTGGACCTCCTGTTGCTTAAAAATGGCTTAAACCAGGAACATTAATAAAAATCTGCTCTTTTACTATATGTATTTATTTGCTCTATTATATTTAAAATATCAAACTTCAATTTAGCATAGCTCCAAGGAAACGCAGCTTAATCCGGTCTATAGTGGCCTCTGGAGGCTAAAATTTGTATTACATCAATTTTATTGCATCAATCTGATTTTACTAAGAAGATAAATCTTAACGTTTAAATATAAATATATAATATAAATATAGACACGCTGATGTTTAAAGTGAGACTTGTGGAGCTTTGAGAGTTCCACAACAATTCAGATGCCACCATTTGTTTTGTTTGCTGTTTCTATTAGATGATGTATTTATCAATAAATTGATATTATCCTGCAACCAGATGCTGAATATTTGTTTTCTATGTGACTGATATTTATCTTGTTTAATTTCCTCCTGTATCAGTCAGCACCTAATAGGTTTTATTTAATCATTTAAACATGTTAACTCTTTTCTGTTGGCTCTGCAAAGCTTAAAAACCAGCATAGATACTTTTTTCTTATAAATGTAAATATGAGTTACTTGCACGGAGTTACTTTTATAGTAAATGTAATACATTTTGGTAAAATAAAAACACTTTGAAAATACCGACCTTTTATAGGTAAATTTTTTCTTACCAATATATGTTGCTCATCGCTGAATAAACTTAAACAAAACTTCCTTTGTGTTTTTATAAATTTTATAATTTCTGCCTCATGCTTCTATTTTCTGTTGCACAGTTCAGATCCATTTATGCACATATGTAGTTCTGATCGTATGTCGGACATGAAGTTTTGTATTCTATCTTTATTGTCATTTTTCTTTTACATCTTCAGGATTTGTTTTGTCATATTACTGAAAACGAAGCTCATTGCTAAGATTTTACAGTTGTTTAATATTTTATGACTATGTTTGAAAATAACTTTTTTACATTACAGTTTTTATGTTTAGTTTTTAAATCTTATTATTTACTTTATTTTTAATCCACTTTTACTTTCATCTAAAAACCTGTAAAATATGGCTAACTTGGAGCTGCACAGTGGTGCAGTTGGTAGCACTTTTGCCTTGCAGAAAGAAGGTCCTGGGTTTGACTCCCAGTCTCAGGTCTTTCTGCATGGAGTTTGCATGTTCTCCCTGTGCATGCATGGGTTCTCTCTGGGTACTCCACCTTCCTGCCACAGTCCAAAAACATGACTGTAAGGTTAATATGACTCTCTAAATTGCCCTGAGGTGTGCTTGGTTGTTTGTGTGTCTCTGTGTTGCCCTGCAATGGACTGGAAACACGTAAACCACTAGATATATACATTTTTCTTTCTGCTTTTACATGTACATTCTTAACCTATAAGGTCCAATTTGTTGATGGACCACAACATTGCTAGCGATAGCAACTTTAGCTATTCTGTTAACATCTTCCAAAAGGTTTAGCAGTAGGTTCATAGTTAGATGAGAAAAACAGAATTGCAGCTTCCACTCTAATTCATCTGTAAGGTGTTCAAAAAGGTTGAGGTCAAGACTCTGTGCCGGCCAGTCAAGATTTCCCACACCAACCTTTATACACCTGCAGCCTTGGAAGTGATTAATTTGGTGGCATGACCCAATACTTTTGGAATTATAGCGTATATATATATATATATATATATACGCTATAATTCCAAAAGTATTGGAGCTTATGTTCCTATATATATATATAAATTAAATTAGCATCTCATGTAACAATTTTAAGTTTTAAAAATAAACTTTTATTTGCACAATTTCTTTGTTAATTTTTTTGAACATTTCTTTATTTGGAATTAGATTTTTCTTATATTTATTTATTTAGTTATAATCTACAATCAAGTCTATGGCCACACCTTCAGTGTTTTTTTATTATTAGCAGAATTAAAAAATAAGCAAAAGAGAGACTTATTTTCTATCTTATAACTTTTAAAAATGTCTTTCTTTCTTTCTTTCTTTCTTTCTTTCTTTCTTTCTTTCTTTCTTTCTTTCTTTCTTTCTTTACTTACTTATTTCTAGTTGGGTTGAATATTTCATCTTAATCCTGCCATGTCTGTGGCCAATATTTACTGACTTGCATTATTTGCACAGTTTTGGAAAATTAATATTTTGAGTTTGTGCCTTTTCTTGTGAGTAAGATACTTTTTTTTATATTTGTAAAATTATTTATTGGGTATATTTTATTTTAATTCAAGTGCAAGTTTAAATTCAACCCTGTAGTCTTAAACATATAAAAAGGCCCAAGTTGCTTTTTTTTTCTTTCGAAAATGATCATTTATTTATGTATTATTTAAAAACTGACTGTCCTTTCATCTGAAGCGTTTCTTGATCCTGAATGTGTCTGAAAACCTCCCTCCTGTAACCTGATCAGGGAGCAAACAGCCCAGTCTGTCTCTCCTCCACCCACCATGTGACTGATGGGCAGATCGGAGCTGCCTCTGCTTCCTCCCGGTGACGTCGGGCCGTAAAGGCGGCAGACAGGAGCGGACCAGCGGGGCAGCTGCTGAGCGGTTCTGCGGACCTGACGGCCGTTGTGTGGATTTATCGATCACTGATCAGAGAGGGGCTTATTGACGGAACCTGAAGCGGCTGCGGAGCCTGAAGCGGTTTACGGTGTCTGATGGAGGAGGGATGCGTTGCCTAGAAACAGAGACAAGACTGAGGGTGGAAACAGGCCGAGCGTCACAGCGAGTAAACACCTTCAGCTGCAACAGCACCAACATCTCCATGGTTGTAACCTGTTTACACTACAAGACAAGCTGTTTTCACCTTTAGAAAGATAAATGGTTTTATTTTAGTTCCTCAGTCAGAATCGAAAACAGTTCCTAATGCTCACATACTCCGTTACGTTTTCATGGGGCTAGAGATGCTGTGGATAACGTCAATGTTAATGCAGGAGATTGTTCCAGTAGTCTTAATGCGGGTCCAGAGAGAAATAGTCATTTTAGTGGTGCTGTCCATAAGTCTCGTTTCAGCTTTATTTTCCTAGTATTTTCAAGCTTTCAAACTGTTAGACTGTTGCTGTTGGTGACTGTTGGTGACTAGCAACTTTTTAAACCTCACAGTGTTGCAGTGGCCTATACTATACACTAAAATAAATTCTCATTACATGCAGAAAGCAACAATTTGGACTATTTACTAAATCTTAATATTCAAAACGTACTTAAACTCATTCATCATGTGTGTTGATTTTTAGTCTATATGCAGATGATGTTGTCATTTACATATCAGAAAACTGTGGATTTGCACTCATACTGAAATGTTTTGATAATATGAAAAACTTGACCTGGGTTTATCGGTTCATTCTACTGCTACACACTTTTATTGGCGCTACTTTCATTTCACAGAAATGTGGATTCACCCCTTATTTTTCTGTTATTGTCTTTCCAGTCTGCCAGACTTTAGTCTCCAGGCTTTGTGAAGGTAAGTTCTTAGCTCTTTAACTCCTCATTTAACACATTCAAATTATACAGTTTTTATTACAACATAGAGAACAAGTATAAGTGAATAAAGGCTAAACCACAATAATAATAAATCTTGAACATGTTTGTTGTTTGAAAGTATGACTGTTTTTTTGTATACTGTTGTTGAATGATCTTTTGTAAGACTAGGAGTACTGGTGCACAATCAGAGTAATAATAATGGTGATTATAACAATAAAAAACAAGTTTAATATAATAATACCAATAATAATAATAATAATAATAATAATAATAATACACTTCTTCAGAACTTATTTCTAATTAAATTAAATGATGCAGTCAAACCAGCATTGTGTTCTTGTTGTCCTGTCCAGCTCTAAGGATCTGCCTTTTGTCTTTAAGCTGTAGGATGAACCTGTAAGTCTACACTCAGGGTGAAGCAGCCACCATGCCGTGTACATGTGCAGAGTGGAGGAGATGGATCCGTCCCCTAGTTCTGGTTCTGTACGCACTTCTGCTTGTGGCCGTGGTGCCTCTGTGCGTTTGGGAGCTCCAGAAGGACAAGGTACACACTTCCTTTCTCATCACCTCCACCTGAACTCCAGCTCCACCTGTTTAACCACATCTGATCCATACAGCTTGACCCATAGAAGTTCTGTTACTCTGTCTGTGCAGGTTGGGACTCACAGTAAAGCCTGGTTCATAGCTGGCGTGTTTGTGTTCCTCACAATCCCCATTTCACTGTGGGGGATCCTGCAGCATATGGTGCACTACACCCAGCCTGAGCTGCAGAAACCTATCATCAGGTGAACAAACACGAATTCACCTATTTTTAGCCCTTTAATCCGTCTCTGGGACATAGATCATTTTTAATTTAAACTCTGTATATAACAACACGGGTTTAACTAAATGCATTGAATTATAAAAAGAAAAAAACAAAAAGAACAAAACAACTTTTTGTTCTTTTAGATGTTTGTGCTGCAGTGGAGGGACAATAATCCAACTTTCTAGAACAGTAAGCAGGGAGCATGGACAGATTTAGGGGTTGGGTCAGTGGGGCACTAACCCCTGTGGTAATCTGACTAGTTCCTTAGGACCATCCACTGAGTCACAGGTGGCTTAACTCGTTAAAGTTAAATAAAAGCAGTAAAGGTTTAGCAGGTGATTTAAAATTTCATTTGCGACTGGATGTTAGAAAGGAGTCATAAAGATGTAGTTGTGGTTTGATTAAAGTTGCATGGAGTAAAATGTGTGGGTATAGCACCTGTTTGGTTTTAAATCTTGTTAGTTTATCTGTATGTTTATAAAAAGCAATAATAAAAAATGTGTATTATCACAGAAATAACTCACTAATTTCTTTGCTCTTTGTTTGAATGCACTGAAAATAGGTCATGGTTACTGTTTTCAACTGGACGTTCTGTATATGTGCAACTTGCTGCTTCATTTATAAACACTGCCAGTTCTGGTAACATCATCAGCTGACATTTAGAAATCCTGCTTGAAACGTTGTGTTTAACTCCCATTTTCAGGGTTCTCTAAAACAGGTTATAGGCTGGAAATGCTGATCAATGCTGTTTATAAACACCGACTGTTGTTTAAAACAGAGTTCATAGATAAGACATTCTGTTTGCTGGAATAATCAAACAAGTGATTTCTGTTGGTAAACTGTGTGCCTGCACTGTGGTCCTCTGCAGAAATGGGCAACACAACAGAGGAGTAATCAAAAATTTACTGGAAGACGTTTAGTAATGTAATGTGGCACAGAGGTGGTTCCTTTTGCTGTTGAAATAATTTCTACTGAGGTTAAATTCAAATTGGGTTTAGCTCCAGCCCTGGTTGGCACCTGAATCTGCACAGAAACCCCTAAAACTACCTTACAGATAACTAGATAATGATACATACATGCAGTATGAGAATAATTTTGACAACATTCTGAAAGCATCCCAGAGTTTCCACTGAAATTTTAATAAGGTGCATTAAACTTAAAACCTGACACAGAAATACTCAACCCTGCTGGTTTGTTATCATCTTCCAGGATTCTGTGGATGGTACCGATCTACAGCTTGGACAGTGTGAGTCATTAATGAGACACAAACACACACACGCACACACACACACACACACACACACACACACACACACAGAGATGCTCAGCTGGCCATCTTATCCATCTGTGCTGCCATAACATCAAATCTTAATAAAAGATGACATGGCACTGTGATAAGCCCTGATATGAGACGCCTTGAGCTGTTTATCATCAGTTAGCTCCGTTACAGCTAATAAACTTCTCCCATGTGACTCTCCACAAGTGATTTCAATCTTCTGATAATGTTCATCGTGTCTTCAGCTCTCCTCTTGTTCCTTCTGTTCAGTGGCTGGGCCTGCGGTACCCCAGCCTGGCCATCTATGTGGACACATGCAGGGAGTGCTACGAGGCCTACGTTATCTACAACTTCCTGGTGTTCCTGCTCAACTTCCTGAGCAACCAGTACCCAAGCCTGGTGCTCATGCTGGAGGTGCAGCAGCAGCAGCCGCACCTGCCACCGCTGTGCTGCTGCCCACCGTGGCCGATGGGAGAGTAAGAGGAGTGTAGGGGGTTTGCAGTACATAATGAGTGGGTAAAGATGAAGGTGTTCATTGCTGTTTTTATTTCTTTTACAGGGTGCTGCTGTTCAGGTGCAAGCTGG